TTGGAGGCCAGGGGCCCCAAGTTCTATATTTAATAGTAAGCTTTAAATATGAACTCAGGTTTTATTTAGATATTAAATTAAATAAAGGGTAATTTTGTGCCAGCACCAGCGGTTAGACTTAATTTATGAGTTAATTTCCACAAATTATCTCTTTAAATAACAAACGGCAGATGATAAAAAGTATGATTTTATTTATTACGTCTTTTTTATTTGCTATTATACGCAGTTTCCTGCGATGCATACTGACCTACTTGTTTGGAGCTTCGTAGTACAAGCGTAGCGCGTAGCCACCGCCAGCGCGGAAACTCGGCTGGCAAACTCGCGCTCTGATTGGTCGCGGTTTTTCGTTAATATCTCGGTAACGAAGCCTCAGATTACATTGTTGCTAAGGAAAAAGTTGTTCCAATTCACCCCCCAAGTGCCCCATTTCCGGGTCGGATGTGATAGAACGTGATTTTATAAGATAGATTCGAAGTTCGCAGCCATTAGCTCGATATTGTCTTCAGTTTACAGTACTACATTGCCGATGATAATACCGATTGCTCAGGCCTCACCACGAGGAGGTTGCTGCTAGTGGAGGCCCAAGGCAGGTAGATGGAATCACAAGTTCTACATCTTCCCACCTTTCACAATATACCTTATAAATAACTTAAATCTTAACTATGTAATACTATCGGTACTAAAATCCCTCGGCGGATGACTTCTTTCTTGAGCCTATAAAAAACTAAGTTCCCTCGTAGGTTGTCTTCGTTCTTCAGCTTAGAACTAATATTATCTTAATGTTCTAATTAATACGAATTAATGCTATTAATACAAAATAACTTAAACTAAACGCAACGTAGTCGCTAATACTCAAACGAAAGAGATAGACGGAATGAAAAAAGTTCGATCGATCATTTCGTTTACGCACCTAATATTCATTCTATATACCAAGCAGTTATTAAGTCTACGATCAACCACGTTAAACTACAGTATGAACAAGTATCGTGATGCAAGTGTTGTTGTCGCCAGAACCTGGTTTAAGAAAATAGGAAAGACGGGCGACACCTCGCTAACCCGGATCCATCTTTTACTGCCATGGAGCTTTGGGCTGGTCACCTGCGTACCAGTTAGTTAGTTAGTTATTGTTCGCTTCTCCCGGGGGAGGGGAAGTGCGATTTCCCCCCCCAAGGCCGCAGCTGTGGCTCGAAACGCCGGTAGCTATCTCACAGCCCTGCAATAGGGACCTGCGTACCAGTAGTAGTAGTAGTAGTACACGATCTCCCGGGAGAGGGGAAGTGCGATTTCCCCCCCCAAGGCCGCAGCTGTGGCTCGAAACGCCGGGAGCTATCTCACAGCCCTGCAATAGGACTGCGGTGGGCATTACCCGGGGAGACTGTTTCCTCCGGTTTTCCAACCCGACCAACTTTTTTAGGCCCGGGCCACATGGAGGCGAGGAAGTACTCGCCCGGGGGGCGGAGAGACACTAGGATCGTCCCATCCCTACCTGAGTAAGTAGCTAAGGGAGTATGGTCGTCGGGGCAACCGATCCTTCGTCTCCTAAAGTGAGTACCCGCTCACTCTTTGCTTCACCCACAGACCGAGTCTGTACCAGGGGTGGAATCATCGTGCCTGCGTACGTTCCATCATCGAGAGAGAGCTGTGTCACCTGTTTCAACCCCCTATTGATCTACCTACCTATGTCCTGAATAATTCAGGAGCCCCCCCTCCTCTGATACCCTCACAAATCTACCACCCCCCCTCAAGGACAGGGAGGGAGTCCCGGGACTCCAACAGTGATACATGGGGAGGCCGTTCTAGCCGACCACAAGGAGAGACGTGGTCGGGTTCGGCGATCACCTCCCCTGGGAGCCGCGGTGGACCATAAATGAATCCACCGCCATGTGAATCTAGTCTAAATCTAAAGCTGGTTATGTGAATTTAATAGAGAGGAAAAACGAGGTAGAGTAGATCGCGCCCTCCCCCCACCCTAGAGTTTGCAAGGAACGCGACGCGAGACGATAGCCCACCGGACTTCGCCGAAATTTCTCCGAAGAGGAAATATCAGGTTCATCAGGGACCACCGCTCGCGTTCTGGGTCGCGAATAACTCGCCCATCCCTAATGGTCGACGCTCTCTCTCTCCGGCGTACCACGGATCGTTGCAGCGTGTGCCAAACGCCCCCGTGACCCGTCGACATATGTGTTCCAGGGTCGCGGTGTCTTACCGGCACGTGAGGCCTATTTTTAGTAATGCCATACTTTACGTCCGGCGCTTCGTTCGTAAAGAACTGCCTTCCGGATTACGATATCCGCGGGGCTCGTTGGGCCGATATCTCGCAAAGTCATGCTCTTCATGCTTCCGGGACTCGGTGCGCCAGTATACGCCCCGCTGTCCGACATCGCAATCGGGCCCCTTCGCGTGACAACTAGACGGGACGACCAGGCCTCCGAAGAGTTATACCATGGAACGTCCCATAACCCACCTTCCCTCGGGCCCGATTGAGCGACGCTAATGAGTGACTGCTTTCTTCTGTTCCTGGAGCATCCTTTCGTTGATCCTCCTCGTCCAGTTCTTGACCTCGCGTCCTTACCTGCTGACCCGCCAGCT